GTGATTTGGCCACAGCTAATCACATGACATGTGCATGTGACCTGCTTTGACCATTCACAGCTAGGCACTAGTATACAATGGATGGCATGAATGAAGCCATCCATTGTATACAACTGTCATGTGACCTGCTGTGATTGGTCACAGCAGGTCACATGGTACCAGCAACGGGGTCGGTACTCAGATCTGTACACGGCCGGTGACAGATCGCACCGCTGCACGGCTCTGCAACCGCGCGCGAACTGCACATGTGCGGGAGCATGCCACATGGAGTGCACCCGGAAAGCTGAAGCATTTTTGTGGCCGCCAAACGGCTATAGGCCGGGCGGCTAATGGTTAATATCACGCACAATCAATAAAATGAAGTGTTTTCTCCTGATCTTGTCACCTGTCAAAAATATAAAATACCTCACATTTTTTTTATTTCCACAATTGGCGGCGGTCTCTGACCTCCCACACTCCCGACAGACATCACGCTGCTATTAATTCCTCCGAAGCCTTGGTGCGGCCTTCACATTTTTGTTGGGATTACTATGGTTACCTCAGGGAAAAGAGCGCAGTGTTTCACAGAGAATTGTATACAAACAAGACGGTAAAATGAAAAGTTGCAGGAAGGAACTGAAATCAAAAGAAGCATCGGCCATCCCGTGTATCATTTTTATTCAGTTTTATCCACTAATTCTAAACCATTGTTACTGGAATAGTGACGTTTACATTGAATGGCACTTGTTGTCATTTCATTTCTCCAGCCTTTTTGTGACGAAATGATATGAAATGATAGCCATATCTTCATCATCATCATATCAGGCCTCAAAATTTAGTTTTAAGGCCCCGTTCACATGAGGAGTATCAATGTGTACGCCCATGTGAAGCCATGTTTATGGAACACAGGCATTCCGCGCATTCCTGTGCAGGTATGCCTTTTCGTGTCACCTGGGATGCAGCGGCTGCATGGACACAGCAGCTGCTCCCAATTTGATATCTCTGTGGGAGCTGGTCCTTGAAGGATTTTAGAGACGCAAACCTATACAGATGTCAAATTGGGAGGAGCAGCTGTGTCCATAACCTCTGTGTACCAATTAACATCAGTGGAACTGCCTGCAAAGGAATGCACGGAACATCTGTAAATCGCCATGCGGGTAATCACAGCCTCATACAGGCATACGCATTGATATGCCCATGTGAACCAGACCTCAGGCTTCATACACAGGGTCGTACACTGTAAGAGCCTACGTAAATACTGTCAAGACTCGTACCCACCACGTACAGCCACACATTGAGATGAACTAGAACAGTGGCTTCCAAACTGCGGCCCTGGGGCTGGATTCAGCCCTTTGCTTCCTTTTATCCGGCCCTTGGGGCACTATTACATCCACTGACACCAACAAAAGGCTTTCTTTTATCTGGTCCTTGGGGCACTATTCCATCCACTGACACCAACAAAAGGCTTTCTTTTATCTGGTCCTTGGGGCACTATTCCATCCACTGACACCAACAAAAGGCTTTCTTTTATCTGGTCCTTGGGGCACTATTCCATCCACTGACACCAACAAAGGGGCATAATTCCTCCCACTGACCCCAGGAAAGAAGGACAATTATTCCCAATGATACCAACAATGAGAAACAGTTTCTCCCAATGACACCAGTAATGGGGCACTATTCCTCCCACTGACACCAGTGATGGGGCAGTATTCCTCCCACTGACACCAGTGATGGGGCACTATTCCTCCCACTGGCACCACTGATGGGGCACTATTCCTCTCACTAACACCACTGATGGGGCACTATTCCTCACACTGACATCACTGATGGGGCACTATTCCACCCATTGACACCAACGATGGCGTATTGTTTGCTCCTACATACACCAGGCCACTTTTCACTCCCACTGACCACGCTTCGGCCCCCCCCCCCCCCTTAAGTCTGAAGGACAGTACACTGGCCCTTTGTTTAAAATGATGGGACACTATTCCTCTCATTGACACTAACGATGGAGCACTATTCCTCCTACTGACACCAACAATGGGACATTATTCCTCCTACTGACACCAACAATGGGACACTATTCCTCCTACTGACACCAACAATGGGGCACTCTTCCTCCCACTGACACCAACGATGCAGCACTATTCCTCCTACTGACACCAACAATGGGGCTCTATTCCTCTCACTGACACCAATGATGTGGTACTATTCCTCCCACTGACACCAACGATGTGGCACTATTGCTCCTACAGACACCATGATGGGGCTCTATTCCTCCCAATGCCAGCAACAATGGGGTATTGTTTGCTCCTACATACACCAGGCCACTTTTCACTCCCACTGACCATGCTTCGGCCCCCCTCCCCCTTAAGTCTGAAGGACAGTAAACTGGCCCTTTGTTTAAAATGATGGGGCACTATTCCTCCCACTGACACTAACGATGGAGCACTATTCCTCCTACTGACACCAACAATGGGACATTATTCATCCTACTGACACCAACAATGGGACACTATTCCTCCTACTGACACCAACAATGGGGCACTATTCCTCCCACTGACACCAACGATGCAGCACTATTCCTCCTACTGACACCAACAATGGGGCTCTATTCCTCTCACTGACACCAATGATGTGGCACTATTCCTCCTACAGACACCAATGATGGGGCTCTATTCCTCCCAATGCCACCAACAATGGGGTACTATTCCTCCCACTGACACCAACAATTGGGCACTATTCCTCCCACTGACACCAATGATGGGGCACTATTCCTCCCACTGACACCAATGATGGGGCACTATTCCTCCCACTGACACCAAGGATGGGGCACTATTCCTCCCACTGACACCAACAATGGTGCCTTGTTTGCTCCCACTTATGCCAGGCCACTTTGTATTCCCACTGCCCACAATCCGGCCCCCCTGAAGGACAGTAAACTGGCCCTTTGTTTAGAAAGTTTGGAGACCCTTGAACTAGAAGATGTGGTTGTACAGTATGTGGTATTTTCATAAATCGCCTGCTTGCACATATGCTCTGAACACAGATAGTGCGTATTTGGAACATGCACCCATGTGGGTGGTTTATGCAACCCCTGTCGGACAACTGCGTACAGCCGCATCTTCTAATTCATGTCAATGGGTGGCTGTACATGGCATCTGCAGGTCCTAGGAGAGCAATTCCGCATGCGCTGAACACCGTACAGTCCCTGTATGACTATATGCATGAAGCCTTAGGTACTCCAAGGTATAGAAGGTTCAGGAGAACACTCATCCTTTTTAACTAGTTTGTTCACATTCACAATAATTTTGCCCGTACATTCCAGCATCCCCAGTACATTAGAACACACTGCTCAGGTTTTGAAAAAGAAGCTTCTTTTTAACATCATTCCATTAGGCTGCCTGCAACCTCTCCTAAGCCTGTCCAAATAACTCCTAGGTAGGTGATTCCTTTCCCACCCCACCCCTATCTTCCCTTTTCTGATCCTGCTCAGATGGCAGAACATGCCAGACACAGAAACAAGCTCCCTGGCTTGTTCAAATCGAGCTTTAAAAGGGATGATGTATTTATGGTTCTGTATTTTTGTTTGGGAAGATCGAAGAAAATAGACAAAGAGGGAGACTGACTACTAGGTGGTTGGACACATGGACTACAGCTGTGGGGATGGCGCTGGAGGATCTCACAAGACTAGCACAAAGCCAACTTCTTTTTATATTGTTGTGAATTGTACATTTTTTATGTGCTTATTGGTTTTTGGGGTCCAAGCACTTGTCACTTTGTTATATGGTTATCCCGCATTTGGGATTCACTGTGTATGACACTCAGTGTATGTTTACAATCCCGTTTTCTGAGATTGGGGGGTTTACTTTTTTTCACCATATTAGGTCCAATTTAGGACCAAGTTGACAGATTCACAGTATTCACCATTTATGTGGCACATATTATCATGTTTCAGATCCCTGAAGGATCTCATCAAAATTTTTAATTATATGATTATATATTTGTTTATACGTTTATGTTACTTATTTTAGCGCTGCACCAATATATTTAACTTCTTTTTAGAGCTCTTATTCATCAAGTCGCTCGGACTCTGACTCAAGTTGATGGCACTTAATAGAAAAAAAAAACAATTATTTTTCTATGTACATGTAGATGTGGGCATGCAGGTTATAAATGTGATACCTGGATGTCGAGTATTTGTAAGGACTCCCAACGGAAATTTGTGAAAATATGGGAGCCGTGGTTGCACGATGCCCTTTCCCACGCTCCCCCCAGCTAGTCTGGGATTGTGAGGTTGCTCGGTATTGGCGTTCCCGAACCCCTGCTCATGGCCTTTTTGGTGCGGCGGTGGATAGCTGGCTTAGGTTTGAGTTATTGTCAATGTTATACCAATGTTTTTGTCATTTATGTGCCATTGATAGCCCCTGCGTGGGCGCACTTTTTGCTCTGTTGGTGTTAGAGCACTGTTTTCTTTCCTTTTTTTATGTGCAATTGATGGCCCCTGCGTGGGCATGTCTTGTTGCTCTTGTTTTTTTTTTTTAAATGTTTATAAACTAATAAAAAATCATTGGAATACAAAAACGTAAGAAAAGCCCATAGATGCCATGGTTTCCTTCTGAAAAAGCTAGTTGCCTGGCTGATATGCTGACCCCTCTATAAAAAGTACACAGATAAGTGCTGTCCTGGTGCTTACCAGTATGTACCTGTATACGATCCACCATTTATGTACACTGAATTTGAAAATGGGAATGTGTACTATTTAGCTAATTTATGCTCATGTATGCACCTTTTCCTTTTGTTTCAATAAAATGTTCTTGATTTAAAAAGAAAGAAAAAAAAAAAAAGGTACATAAATGTGATACCTGGAGAGATTTACATTAACACTGAGCAGTTGCTAAGTCAAACAAACCTCCTTAGCAACCAGATAGTTTGTATTCGGTAGGTCACTACTGAACTCCTAGCAACAGCCTGTGCTCCTATCTGCAGGCAGTAAACAGCAATCCAAAAAATGCACACAGACTTTTATAAGGATCTATCCTCTACTACTAAACTTCCTATAATAAAAGAGTCTATGATGAAGGTCTGCTGGTGAAACCAAGTGTTGCTCCGTAAACAAAAGCCATACTGACACCTTATGATGTTATGTTGCTGACTCTCTATCAGGGGCGGACTGACCATTTGAAAATGCGGGCACTGCCCGAGGGCCCGGGGTCAGTAGGGGGCCCCATGAGATGCCCCTGGTACCTTTTTCATAGGCTTTTTTGAGTTTGGGCAAGGACACAGGGGCCCCATGATCCCCTATTGCCCGGGGGCCCCATGAGTTGTCAGTCCGCCCCTGCTCTCTATCATAGAAGTGAGGGAAAGGCAGATTAGTTCTTCGGGGTGATTTCAATGTTAGCCCTGATCCGCTGTTAGATAACTCACTCAGTCACTCCCCCTTTATTTCTTCCTCTCCTCTGTATTTTTCCTCCACATACAATTTCTGCATCATACGACATGTTGCCTACTTCAGTAGTGAAGTAGTTACAATGCCCTTGGCAAACTCTCATACTCCGCATATATGCATTGTCTTTGAAATATTACTGTTCAAATGATAACCTAACAAATAACTTGGATGATGTCATGTAACATTATATATATGTGTAGCCGGTCTATCGTGTTATTGTATTGCACTGAAAAAAAATCTTAAAGAATATGTCAACCTAACATTTCATATTCCTGATACAGTAAAGAAAATAAGTATTTGATCCCCTGCTGATATTGAATGTTTGCCCACTCACAAAGAAATGATCTGTCTAAAAATCAAATGGTACGTGTATCGTAATACTGAGATACAGGATAGCAACAAAAAATTCAAATGAAATGCATGTCTAACAAATTATGCACTGATTTGAATGTTCATGAGGGAAATAAGTATTTGATCCCCTATCATTCAGCAGGATTTCTGGCTACCAGGTGTCTTTCATACAGGTAACAAGCTGAGATTAGAAGCAGTCTCTTAAAGGGAGTGTTGCTAATCTAATTTTGTTACCTGTATAAAAGACAACTGTCCACAGGAGCAACCAAACAATCAGATTCCAAACTCTCCACCATGGCAAAGAACAAAGAACTGTCCAAGGATGTCAGGGACAAGATTGTAGACCTACACAAGGCTGGACTGGGATACCAAACTATCACCAAGCAGCTTGGTGAGAAGGTGACAACAGTTGGTGCAATCATTCACAAACGGAAGAAACACAAAACAACTGTCAGTCTTCCTAGGTCTGGTGCACCATGCAAGATCACAACTCGTGGAGTGTCAATGATCATGAGACCAGTGAGGAATCATCCCAGAACTACATGTGAGGATCTTGTCAATGATCTCCAGGCAGCTGGGACCACAGTCACCAGGGAAAACAATTGGTAACACACTACGCCGACAAGGATTGAAATCCTGTAGTGCCCGCAAGGTCCCTCTGCTCAAGAAAGCACATGTCCAGGCCCATCTGAAGTTTGCCACTGAACATCTGAATGATGCAGAGGAGGACTGGTTGAAAGTGTTGTGGTCAGATGAGACCAAAATCGAGCTCTTTGGCATCAACTCAACTCGCTGTGTTTGGAGGAGAAGGAATGCTGCCTATGACCCCAAGAACACCATCCCAACTGTCAACATGGTGGTGGAAAAATTCTGCTTTGGGGGTGTTTTTCTGCTAAGGGGACAGGGCAACTGCACCGCATCAAAGGGATGATGGATGGGGCAATGTACTGGCAAATCTTGGGTGAGAACCTTCTTCCCTCAGCCAGGGTATTGAAAATGGGTGTTCCAGCATGACAATGACCCAAAACACACGGCCAAGGCAACAAAGGAGTGGCTCAAGAAGAAGCACATTAAGATCCTGGAGTGGCCTAGCCAGTCTCCAGACCTTAATCCGATTGAAAATCTGTGGAGGGAGCTGAAAGTTCGAGTTGCCAAATGTCAGCCACCAATCCTTAATGACTTGGAGAGGATCTGCCAAGAGGAGTGGGCCAAAATCCCTCCTGAGATATGTGCAAACCTGGTGGCCAACTACAGGAAACGTCTGACCTCTGTGATTGCCAACAAGGGATTTGCCACCAAGTATTAAGTCATGTTTTGTGAAGGGGATCAAATGCTTATTTCCCTCATGAACATGCAAATCAGTGCATAATTTGTTAGACATGCATTTCTTTTGAATTTTTTGTTGCTATTCTGTCTCTCAGTGTTACAATACACCTACCATTTGATTTGTAGACTGATCATTTCTTTGTGAGTGGGCAAACATTCAAAATCAGCACGGGATCAAATACTTATTTCCTTCACTGTATGTGGCTGGTGTACTATGTACTTGTATGTAATAGCATCCTGTTCTCTTTTTATTGCTTCCTTTGTGTGAAATACCTGGTGTTCCTGCCAGTCCCTCTGCTTTCCTATTACAAACTTATCACACTAGGCAGGAGAGCACAGCATGGTAAGTTTTGTGGCTGTGCTGGGAGTCAACGCAGTTCAGCTTTCCATGCAAGTGACCCATAACCCATTGTATGTCATGGCATGATGTCGTGTCACTAAAACAGAAAATGAGGAAGTTTTTCGAGTGCTGCTGAGTAAATAAAGAGTATACTGATGATGAGCTGCAGACTTTTTAACCTGGAAGTGAGCATAAATCTTTATAATAACCAAAAAAAATTCTGCATTTTAGTTAAATGAAGGTTTAGAACTTCTGGGAGGCTTTTATTAGTGCTTATTTCCCCAGTGAGGAGGTGTCTGTTTACTCCCATGCAAGTGATGTCTTGTGTGTCATGACCTGATGTGGTGTCACTAAGACAGAAAGTTAGGAGGGTTTACAAGACAACCTGTTATTTGTCTGTAAGCTCAGCTACCCATATCTCTGGGTCTACTGATGGTTTTGTCATGACCAGGTTTGGATTAGATGACATTTAAGTACCACCAGTATGGGCAAGTGCCATATTTTTTTTAGTATGATCAGGTACTCTATTCGTTAAAGTTTAATCTGCTAATATTTTGCCTTCCCTGGTTTCTCCCTACCTCCTGCTGCCTTATCAATATGCTAATGAAATTTAAAAAAAACCTTACAATTTTCATTACATACCTTAGTTTAGACCCAGTGATTTCATCACTGGATCTCTGTGCCTCTCTATTTAATGAAGGCACATCACACCGATTGACTAACGTACATATCAGACTGGATGTCACACCACTTCCTAAACTTAATCTATCCAAAACTGAGCTCATAATATTTCCTCCCCCACGTGCCTCTTCCCCTGATTTCTCGGTCAGGATCAATTGCACCACTATCAACCCATCCCCGCATGCCAGGGTGCTAGGGGTAACCCTGGATTCTGAAGTATACTTTCAGGACCACATCCAATCCCTGTCCAAATCATGCGCCTCAACCTCCGCAACATCTCCAGAATACGCCCCTTCTTAACCAATGACGCCACAAAGCTCCTAATTCACTCCCTGGTAATCTCTCGCCTCAACTACTGCAACTTCCTCCTCATTGGCTTACCTTTACATAGGCTATCCCCCCTCCAGTCCATCATGAATGCTGCTGCCAGGATCATCCACCTTACCAACCGTTCAGTGTCTGCTACCCCTATCTGCCAATCCCTCCACTGGCTTCCATTCACCCAACAAATAAAATTCAAAGTACTAACAAGAACTTACAAAGCCATCCACAACTCTTCCACCAGCTACATCACCAACCTGGTCTCAAAATATCAATCACACCACTCTCTTCTATCCTCCCAAGATCTTCTGCTCTCTAGTTTCCATGTCACCTCCCATGCTCACCTCCAGGACTTCTCTCGAGCTTCTCCCATCCTATGGAACTCCCTACAAAAATCTGTCCGGCTATCCACCTTTAGACAATCCCTGAAAACCTTTCTGTTTAAAGAAAGTCTATCCTGCTTCTACCTAGTAAATCACCATTTTTTTCCTCCATCAGCTCATCCCCCCACAGCTATTACCTTTTATGTCACTCAACCCTTCCTCCTAGATTGTAAACTCTAACGAGCCGGGCCCTCTGTTTCCTCTTGTACCAAATTGTATTGTAACTGTAATGTTTACCTTCATTTTGTAAAGCGCTGCGCAAACTGTTTGCGCTATATAAATCCTGTTTAATAATAATAATCATGGCTGGTGGGAGGAGCAGGCAGGATACTGAACATAATTCCTGAAAACATTGCAGTACCCTGCCTCAGTACTTATTTATTATTAATTTCAGGTACTTATATTGCACTGTCAATTTACGCAGTGCTTTACATATATATTGTACATTCATGTTAGTCCTTAACCCTTGAGGGGTGTACAATCTAAGGTCCCTAACCTCATACAAACACGTACTAGGGCCAATTTAGACAGGTTCCAATTAACCTACCAGCAGATCTTTGGAGTGTCAGAGGAAACTGGAGGAAACCCACGCAGGCACAGGGAGAACATGCAAACTCCAGGCAGGTGGTGTCGTGATTGGGATTCAAACTAATGACCCTAGTACTGCCAGGCGGAAGTGCTAACCATTTAGCCACTGTGCTGCCACTGTGCTCCCCCTGATGCAAGTCCTAATGCAAACAGTATGCTGGCTCATGGAAGGAGATATGCAAATATCAAAAAAGTGTTCATGGGTTTTCAGTCTAGAGGAGTGGGAACTATAGGCAGGCTATATTTGCATGCAAACTGCCCAAGGTTCTGCCAAAATTCAAAAGTAAGCTTTCATGATTGAAAGAACTGAAATTCAATAAATAAAAGGGGCAGGTCAGGTACAATCAAAATGGAAAGGAAAGTGCTAGATGAAGTTGGACGTCTTCGTAATGGAAATGAGACGGGCTCTATATAACTTGCTGCAGCTTCCAATGCGCACCATGAGAAGCTCACAGTGTGCAGTGAAATGAGACTAAGCAAATTCAGTACAAGAGAGGAGTCTGTACAAATCTGAAAGGAAGGTTGAAGTTTGGCTTGTGAATTGATACAGTATGTCGAATGTTATTAAGGGACCTTGTGATCCGATGTCTGAATACTGTGCTCTTGATGTATCATTCTAATCTAGAATTGATACTTTTTGTTGCAAACATTCCAATGTCATTCTAATAATAAGTTCATGGTAAGAGCCAATCTTCTCTTGACTAAGAACATTTCAAAGAACAGATAATAAATATCTGATTCAATTTCTTAAGAAATTCATCAACACACATTTGCTTTATTTTTATAATGCTCCTTTATTGTACAATCATGGTATACAGTAGGAGCTATATATGTATAAAAAGGTGTGCAGCGCTGAAAACACAAAATAAATGTATCAAGTGGAACAATAAAGTGCAACATATGAATGTATATAAAACTTGCGGATATATAATAAACATAAAATCAGCAAATGGTAGGAAAATATAGTTTGTTAAATAATGTGATAATAAGTGCACTAAAGGGCTATAAAATAAATTAATCAAAGTATTATAAATGATACTCATAGTTGCACTTAATTGATTTGTGCAATATTGTAATCAAAAATCCATCAAACAACTGCGTTCAAATAATGTCCTTATATTAATAAAGTGCAATGTTGGAAAGTGCAGGATGTGAACGTGCGATCAGTCACACAGGGGAATCCACCACCTCGGATGGATGTACACTCATCAGAAGGTATATGAGAACAGGCATATGGTATATCACATCTGGAGGTGAAGAGGCAGCCAGGGGGTTAAATGTACTGCTCCATCAAAGGCATGGGTGGAAGGAGGAACCCTTGTCCTAGGGAAGATAGCTCAACCACAAGAGCCATAAATTCGTATATAGTGTAGTCATTTATTAAATTCACAAAGCAGAGTTAAAAATCCACGTGGAGTGATAAAGGTAAAAATGACAGGTGCCAAAATGGCTGCCACTCTGTCCTTTTGGCAGTGGCGGTGTGGCGTCAGCAATGTGGCTCCACCCGACGTGTTTCGTTCGCATGCACGTACTCAGGGGTACGCCCATATAGGAGCTATATGATCAACCCGTTCCAGATGAATTTGTGTAAAATTTTGTGATTGCAAAGAAATTTTGTATTGTAATTGGAAAGCTAATCTAAACTCTAAAATCTGTAGAATGGTAATGTCATATATGGGACCCAGCCAGGGGCTAACTGGTATGGGCGCCCCTGTGTCCTTGCCCAAACTGTAGAAAAAGATACCAGGGGTAATGCCCCCTACTGACCCTGGGCCCTCGGGCAGTGCCCGAATGGTCAGTCCGCCCCTGGACCCAGGTGATGTCAGCTCAGCTCTTCGTGACACATGGCCTAATGTTTGGTGTAATTCACATGTTCTAAAACATGAGCTCCATGGAATCCCTTGTTACGAAGGACATGGTGTATAGCCATTCATATGTTTCTGCCCTCGGGGCCAGTTCACGCCACAATTTCTGCGTTCCAGATGTGTTTCTGTGCGCATTTTTAGTGCGTTTTTGATGAGTTCCGTGTGTTTTCCCCTCTTTATTTTTTTTTTCTTCATCTCAGTTGAGGATATGTGCGTTCTGATGCATTTTTTTATGCGTTTTGCTGCTTTCCTTACAGAAAAAAATGCAACATGTTTCTACTTTTCTTGGCTGTACTGGAACACACTGTACTGGTGTGAACTAGGGCCACTGGAATCCATGGTAAACACTGTCCATGCATTTCTGACACAGAATAGATATGCACTGGATTACATCTGGTGTGAACCAGCTCCTATTCCCAGGGTGTATTTAGATGTCATGCTGCCCTAAGCATACTGGAATGGTGATGCCCCTTTATACAAACTCCGCCCCTTGTCATTTGAATATTTTGGCACTACCATAATGAGCTATTGGGAAGTACCAGGCTTTTTATGTAGAGGTACCTTTTAACTGTACAGATCACCAAACAACGGTTGCAGTGTGACTGCATTTACATGAATGGGTTGTCCACAGTGACAGAGCTGCCCACGAAACGCAACAGGAGGGATTATTTTGTCATGGCGTGAAGCAGAGCATTCCGCCATTTATATAGCCCGGTCTGACATTTAAGCTTAGTGTTACTAAACCCACAACAGCAGGGGCGGACTGACAACTCATGGGGCCCCCGGGCAATAGGGGATCATGGGGCCCCTGTGTCCTTGGCCAAACTCAAAAAAGCCTATGAAAAAGGTACCAGGGGCATCTCATGGGGCCCACAGGCAGTGAGACTGACCATTCGGAAACTCGGGCACTGACGGGTCAGTAAGGTGCCCCATGAGATGCCCCTGGTACCTTTCATAGGCTTTTTTGGGTATGGTTTGAGTGTAGGTGAGGACACAGGGGCCCCATGTTCCCCTATTGCCCGGGGGCCCCATGAGTTGTCAGTCCGCCCCTGCATCAGGGAGACCTGTCCTCTAGAGAGATTTATGAAGCCTGTTGCAAAAAAGGGAGTCTCACCCCTGCCGCTGCATTCTCTATTATCAGCAGCAGTCGTATCAAACTAGAGACTCCCTTTCTGCGATTCTTGCCGCCAGAATCTATCCACCAGGATCAGGGGCTGACTGACAACTCATGGGCCCCCCGGGCAATAGGGGATCATGGGGCCCCTGTGTCAGCGTGACAGCTCGTAAGGAGAGAAATGCCGATAACCGGCATTTCCCTATTTACATGAGATCAGCTGTGATTGGACACAATTATATCGAAATTGCAGCGCTAAAATAATAATAATATCAAATAGCAATATATAGTGATAAGTGAAACAGCTCTATCAAAGAGAGCAGCAAAGTGAAAATAGTGTGTCACCCTATATGGACGAAAAACCAGTGACATAAACGCACAGTATAAACATATAGTAGTCCACATAGATTCTTCCTTAGATATGTGCTTATATCATCCAGTGTGGGCGGATAATTAGTAGCTCCTTCACAGATTCAGATAAATATGGTGCTCGTGACTCCTTGTGAGGAAGGAAAAAGAGGTGTGCTTGCACTCACCGGACGCACAACCAAATTGTGCATGTAAAGATATTTCTGTAGGGCACTGGTGGTCATCTAGGAACCGATAGGGAAATGGTACTTCTCAGGTACTCGCTACACCCTTAACCGGACTTCAGACCTCTCCGTGGGACCCTCACAGCAAAAAGGACAGCTCCTCGGTGTAAACTCCACAGCAACTTAGTAACGCTAGATCTCCAGCCTGTGCGCACTCTCCGGTTCATCTTCCCTACACACAGCTGATCACATGACCAAGCCGACATCTTCGACTCTTTCCATTGATTAGTGATCCGCTGTGTCCGAGGGACACAGCACACCACAGATCGCTGCGCTGCGCGCTCTCAGAGCCGCGCATGCGCGGTTTAGAATGGGACGACATCATATGACGTCCTCCCAGAACGAGAGACCCACCTTGCGCCTGTCATTGTACTATATGGCGGGCGGGAGGTGGTTAAAAACACAAGTTTTTCAGTGTTTGTTTAGCTTTTTTCATTAGCACGTTTGTTTAACCACGCTTTGCATTTTTCAGCGTTTTTTTCATCCCCCAATTTCTCATTTATTGCTCAAAGAAAGTTCAAAAACACTGGTTTGCCGCATTTTACCACGTTTTGCCGCATTTTTCTGCGTTAGAGCATTTTTACAGCTAAAAACCTCCTCTAGAAACCAACTAGTTCTGGGGGGTTTTTCCAGCCAAAAAAAAAACGTTGATTCCAGCCTATGTGTGTATGGACACACAGGATAACATGCTGGGGAGTTTACTGGCTGTAGAAAAAAAATGGCAAAAGCCAAAAACAGCCGTTGTAAAAACATTCAGTGTGCACGAGGACTAAAGTTGAATAATGCCCTTGCTATAGGTGTAGGCCATTAAGCCCCTGGTCACATTGGGTGCGATTTGGCATGCGATTTGCATGCCAGGCAACTTGCAAATCGTACGCCAAGTCGCATCCTGTTGTCCATAAATACATCGGTCAAATCTGTGCGGTTCTGACTTGATCAGAGCCACAACAATTTCTAAAGTAGTACATGCACTACTTTCTGTGCGATTTGCATAGACATCTGTGTCAGATGTCTTGCAAATCGCACTTGAAATCAGCATGTCCCTCGACTTTGAAACCGTGCGACTTCACTGTAAGTCGCATGATGTCAAAGTCAGGCTTGATGTGAATGGGGGCTTAAGTACCAAAACCTGACTGTAAACCTCCCAGGATATTGCTAGGATGTTGCTAAGAGATTCTAGCTCTTAGCCCTGGTTCACACTGGTGTGACTTCATTTGAGACATAAGATTTACAAATCGCAGCTAAAGCTGCATCTAATGTATTTCTATGGCACTGTCTTAATCTATCAGATTTGAAGTAGAGCAATTTCAAAAATAGTTTCTATACTACTTTTTTGTGATTTCATTGCAACTTGCATTGACTCCGATTAAATGAAGTTGCAAGCCACAGTGAAATCGAAGGTACAAATCGCACTGATCTGCGGCTTTGAAATCGTACTGTTTCAAGTGAAGTAGCACAATTTCAAAGTTTCATTCAGTGTGAACCAGGGCTTACTGTTCAACTCCACCAACACAGCAGTAGTGAGCTCTGAGCTGCATGCTGCATCAGAGGAGAGAAAGCACATGTGAGCGGTTTGAATCAGAGAAAGACCTCGCTCCTGTGATGGTGACGGTGAATAGTGATGACTAGGCCTCTCTTAGCAACGTCCTTAGCAATATCCTGGGAGTATTCCAGTCAGGCTTCACAAGGTGCATAATGGCCTAAAGCTATAACAAGGCACTTTGGTCAAAGCTGCACAGTTTGTTTTTATTTACAGACATGTAGATTTGTACAATACATGGTAATCTTGGGGCTTCAATCACACTTCAGCTAAGCATCTTTGGTCACTTTTGTGCATTTTTCTGCATTTTTACAGGTGTTTTTATGCACGTTTCAGGCTTGAGATTTTTTTTTGCAATGTACTAGACAAGAAAATGTGCACAATTTGGTGTGTTTTTTTAGGTGCTCCCATTGAAGTCTATTCAGGCTGAAACGCATGATTTACACAAAAAAAACATATATTTTAATTGTTTATTTTACTCAATTTACAAAATGCAAAGTGAGCAAACAGAAGAAAAATCGAAATCAAATCAATATTTGGTGTGATCATCCTTTGGCTTCAAGCCAGCATCAATTCAACTTATGAAGCTTTTTTGAAGAAGCACAAAGAAATGGGCAATGTTGCGGACTGTAGATGCAGTGGTCGACCAAGGAACTTAATGCAGCAGATGAAACACACATCACGCTTACTTCCCTTCAACATCAGAAGATGTCCAGCAGCGCCATCAGCACAGAACTGGAGGAAACCAATGGGACCCAGGTACACCCATCTACTGTCTGGAAAAGTCTGGTTAGAAGTGGTCTTCATGGAAGAAGAGTGGCCAGAAAGCCATACCTCTGACGTGGAAACAAAGTTTAAGCGGCTTAACTATGCATGAAAACAAAGGAACTGGGGTGCAGAAAAATGGCAGCAGATGCTCTGGACTGATGAGCCAAAATCTGAAATATTTGAATGTAGCAGGAGTCAGTATGTTCACTTGAACGTCCAGAGAACGGTACAATAACGAGTGTCTGCAGGAACATTGAAGCACGGTGGAGGTTGCTTGCAAGTTTGGGGCTGCATTTCTGCAAATAGAGTTGGAGATTTGGTCAGCATCAATAATGTCCTCAATGCTGAGAAATACAGACAAATATGTATTCATCCTGCCCAGGGGCAGACTGACAACTTATGGGGCCCCTGGGCAATAGGGGATCATGGGGCCCCTGTGTCCTTGCCCAAACTCAAAAAAGCCTATGAAAAAGGTACCAGGGGCATCTCATGGGGCCCACAGGCAGTGAGACTGACCATTCGGAAACTCGGGCACTGACGGGTCAGTAAGGTGCCCCATGAGATGCCCCTGGTACCTTTCATAGGCTTTTTTGGGTATGGTTTGAGTGTAGGTGAGGACACAGGGGCCCCATGTTCCCCTATTGCCCGGGGGCCCCATGAGTTTATGCCTATGAAAAAGGTACCAGGGGCATCTCATGGGGCCCCTACTGACCCTGGGCCATCGGGCAGTGCCCAAGTTTCCAAATGGTCAGTCCGCCCCGATCATGCCATACTATCAGGGAAGTATGTAATTGCCCTCAAAGTTATTTTGCAGCAGGACAACAACCCCAAACATACAGCCAATGTCATTAAGAACTATCTGCGGCATAAAGAAGGAGTCCTGAAAGTGATGGTTTGGCCCCCACAGAGCCCTGATCTCAGCATTATGGAGTCTGTCTGGAATTACATGAAGAGATAGAAGGATTTGAGGCAGACTACATCCACAGAAGATCTGTGGTTAGTTCTCCCAGATGTTTGGAACAATCTACCTACCATATGGAAGAGAAATATATTTTCAATATATTTAGAAAAAAAAAATTATACATGCGACATATATTTACAATATCGATGCCTATGCAAATATATTTTAACTTGTATTTCAAAAATGTAAATTAAAATATATTTTCCAAAGGCATATATTTCAAAATATATTTTTTTAAATATATTTCCAGATATTTTTGAACATCTAAAAAAATGCATTTAACCTCTTGGTGCTGGCCGAACACAAATGTGCGGCTTCCCGGCATCTGAGCCTAGATGCCGAGCAGCTGCACATTTGCGTTGTATTTTAAAAAAAAAAGTGTGCTGAGAGCGTGCGCCCTGCGCATGGAAAGGTCTTGATCTCCTTTTTCGATCGGGACCTTTCCCGATCATGTGACAGCAAATCATGGAGGTCACATGACCCTAAAACCCCGCCCCGCTTCCCGGATTCTGGAACCCTTAAAGTGCCGGGAAACGCTGGCACCAAGGGGTTAAACATATATTTTTAAATATACTTGTAACTGCATTCTAAAAATGTAATTTAAATGTATTTTACAAAGACATATATTTGAAAATATATTTTTAAAATATATTCTTCAGGTTTTTTTAACAGATAAAAAAGTAATTTCCACATATATTTTTACATATATTTTTAAATGCATTCCAAAATACACTTTGAAATATATTTCCCAAAAATACTACCAAAAGTATTTTCCACAAATACTACCAAAATTGTAGTATTTGAAATATATGTCAATATATTTGGGAAGAATATATTAAGAATGTATTTTTAAAATATATTTAAAATATATTTTTCTTCTAAGTGGGCTGCCAGGTTCCTTCAAAAACTGTGTTCAAGTGTAGCTAGAAGAATTGATGCTGTTTTGAAGGCAAAGGGTGGTCACACCAAATGTTGAATCAATTCGGAGTTCTCTTCTGTTTATTTAGTTTCCATTTTGCGAACTGATAAAAATTAACTATGAACACTTCTATTTCT